TCTGGCAACCCAATTCTATCTGTGTTTAAGGAGAGAATTTCACAACTAGGATGTATACAAAAACAGCTTTTACAATGCACAATCCGTATATAAACTGATGCCTGTTTGTTAAAGAAGAGGGAAAACACAAGGGTTGATTTATCAATGTCTTTAACATTAATTATCACAGATGGGAATTCTGAGGACCTCTGTGAAACCAAACCAGACCCTGGTGAATTATAAAGCAGGTCCTTAGACTTTAAAAAACATTTAGGCAAAGTGACAGTTCAGAACATCTGTTAGCCTTCTGTCTGAGTATAAACTAGATGTCATGGAGTGCACAGCTGTAGGCATTTTAGGCTTTTTTGCCAACATCTGTCACAGCAGTACAATAATATAGGTAATTATCAACACCTTATATAAACTGTTTGCTATTTTAATTTTTAGAAAGAGTAAAATTAGTGTTACAGTCCTTGGCAAAAATAATTGAGATGAATAGAATCATTTTTCTCTCAAAGATGAATAAACAATCTGATAATTCTTTGAAAACACACATTTTAAATATTTTCTGCAGCCAATATTGGTATTATACTAAGCAAAAATTCTAAGTGATTTTTTTTTTTTTTAAGCAAGGGCCAAAGTACAAGTAAAGGTAGAAAGAGGCCAGAAATTGTGACTTAGAGCAACCAAAGATGATGTTTTGTGATAAAAATATAGAGTTTGTTTATACCCCACAATGTGGCATTAACTGATTCCATATTCATAAAGATTAAAAATTCATTTTATAATGTCGGTACAGCAAAGCCTGTGTAATGAATCATAAAAATTTGTCTTCCTCTTCTCTCCTTGCTCTTCTCAGTCCTAGAAATTTGCGGAGAAATGGCATATAAAATTATAATTCATATCCTGCCATCTTAGTGACTAAAGTTAATTTGAAAAGGGTCAGCACATCATATAAATCCACGGATCCTTCATTATTTTAGTGCCACCTGGTAATGGACTATCTACAGTACGCATCCTAAGATACTGGGCATTACTGTCTCACATCTGATTCCTTTGACCTATCCTATCATTGTTTTTCAGTTTAAAGAACTCGAAGCAGCAAGACCATATTCCAAAGCACCTGTTCTGAGGAAGATGCCAGTCAATAATGTCTTATTGAAAGACCAGGCCCAGCTAGAGGAAATAAAGGAATTGAGCTGCAGTTGGATTTCATCATCTAAACATGCAATGTAATCTTAACCAATTCATTACACACTCCTTTTGTTTCCACTACAAAAGGGATGTTACCTTTGTCAGAGGTTGTAATTCCAGTATGTTCAAGCAAAGACAAGGGAGAAATTGAAAAACTGCTATCAATTCTACCCATAGCCAGGAAGAACTGTAGGGTCAGAAGGTCAATATCACTGTCCCTTGTACAGTTTAGACTAGACCACAGAAAGCTAACTACATTGCAACAGAAAGGTATCATAACGGGGACTCACACAAAAATACTACATGAGAATAGGAGTAGGAAGTCATATTCTTGAACACATTTGATTTAGCACATGAAGAATCAAATGAAGTGAATCTCTATTTGGGCAATAGTTGTGGATGCTTAAAAGAATGCTTTCTTAGGACGATCTTGCAGAGAAGGGAGATTTTATTAATGGGAGGTCACCATGGCAAAAAAAAAAAAAGAAAAAAAAAAGAGTCACAAATGTTAGTATTCATTATCTAAAGGTCTAGAAAGGGTTGAATGAGAAAGAGAAGGGGGAAGTAAATATGGATATAAAAGGCAGACAAGTTGGCCTAACAGGAAGGACTAAAAATGAAAGGGACTAAAGAAAGAGAAAAACCTGATAGATGGTGACAGAGAATAAGGCTGTGGAGGTTAGGGGAGGAGTAAAAGAGGATATTGATTACCAAATGGAGTATTAAGAACCAAATAACAATTTAGCGCCTGTGAGTGTTAGCACTTCTTAATGAGAGTGATCAGCTGTTAAGAAATGAGTCTTAGAAAGAGAAACATTTAAAAATAATAGCTCAGTAGTATGGTTCTGAAGTCTGTTAAAGTGGGTTCATTTGAGATTTCTCAATGCCAAATTTCTTTACCAGCGAGGAGAAAACAATGTATTTTGACATCTAGAAAAGGGTGGCAAAAAGAGAAAGCAACCCACTTCCCAAAGACCTTGAAAAATATTTCTAATGATGAATTTGATTCCTTAAGGGCATTACTTTTTCCATCTAGTTTCAAGTGTTTGGAACAGAATAATAGCACAAGGATATCTGCCACGTCAGCATCAAAAGTGATTCGACTAACACAGTCTTCACTACAGTGGTGATTTATAAGGAGAGACACACTATTTCAAAGTTTATATTGTGATAAAGACAGATTTGTGTATAAATATTCCTCTTTGATTACTTGGCACACCTTGACTGATAGGAAAAATACTTTGTTAGGGTCCATTTTCTATGTTGAAAATCATTTCCTAGAAGGCCGAGCTAGCTCTGATCAACCCTGAATGAGACACAGTTAGCAGTTAGCATGCTCTCATCTTTGTCCCTCTTTTGTGCTCTGGCCTCTCCCCGCTTTGCCCACTGCCCTCATCTTCCTTCATTAAGTATCTTAATCCAGGCTGATGTTCCCTAGGTAGTGTCCCAGGCTTGCTCCATTTTTTTGCTTTTCAAAATCTGAAACAAATGGCTAATAAATGGATTCACCGTAATGTACTAATGACTGATAATAATGTGTTCTTTCATCAAAGTTACTAGCTCTATGCCAGAAGCTCTCTGAAGGGGGGGTGGGGCACACATCTTGCTAATTTTTGTATCCTCTGGATCGCCCAACAAAGTGCTTTCCTCATGATAAATATACATTAACTTGTAAATGAATATACGCTGAGCGTTATGTTTTTCTCCCTAAATCAAGTGTGTACTCACTGAGAGTATTTATATTTTTATTTTTAAATTCTACGTATTTATTTTTAAAGTTCCTAGCTAGAGAGATACGGTGGTCAAGCTGAATTCGAGTCTTTAAAACCGATACTTCGTTTTTCTTATTGATGTTTATTATAAGCACATGAAAGGGAAATTTAAAAGAAAATGTCATTTTTAATACTACTACTGTAATACCATAATAAATAGCTTAAATTTTCTATATTCCTTTCTAATCCTTGGCTCATAAATATTTAAAAATTATATTTGTAATACACATATTTCTGGATCTTTATGTTTATTTAATGTTACTGTGTTTTGAAAGTGAATTTGTCACTAAGGGACAAAGATTGTAAATATTCAAATTTCTAATGGTGGAGTTATAGAAAGCCCCCCCAAGGTCTGAAAAGACAGTTTTGGATTGGGGAAACTTTTGCAGTGCTCTCTTAAGGCCAGTGTTTCTGAAGGGAGCTAATTTTTTTTATTTCTAAATCATAGGATCTTCTGTTTTAGAAGGACAAATTGGAAGTGTAGGATTTTAGGGCTGTAAAGCAGGCCTTAGATTTAAAAAAAAATCCAAGATGAGATTCAATAGTAGGTACTAACTTTCCATTTTGATTGTCAATAACTGAAGGTGTTTATCCGTCCTTCACAGAGTCTATCTGGAAAAAAGTCTCGGATCTGAGTTTTTCTATCCTTATTCCAAATATATATGACATAAAAGAGTTTGCTCAAAAGGGCTTGGATGTGTACGCCACAGTCACCAGTGTAAAGAAAAATCAAATTAATTTTCCTGTTAACAATCAACTCAGTCACTATCCCACTTGCAGGCAACCCAAAATCCTTTAGAGAAGAAACACTGGACTATTTCGTTAATCACAAGATCATAGTGGACACTTTCAAGTGCTATATCATTAATATTTTTATCCCTATAAGTCAAAAAGATTTGGGAGAACTGCCACAGTGTGGAGTTTAGTCTTGAATGTCCATTATCAGCAAATGGAGTGATAGAATAATGTGATAAACTCCTTTATTGGAAATACACACTTCATTGCAGTTCATTTCTCTCCTTTCCCCTACTGTTATGACCTTACTATCTGCTGTGGTACTTATATATTCAAGGCAAGTAGTGATCCACTTTCCTCAGACACACGCACACACACACACAGGCACACGTGCACACACACACACACACGCACGCGCGCGGGCTCGCCCCTTGACACCCAATTGTAGGCGGCTGATTCATTGTGCTGTGCAGTGTAATCCACCATTTCCTATTTAAGTAGGATGGCATCTAGAGTATTTTTCTTTCCTAACATGAAACTAAAATCTTACAAGGTCACCGCCAATATGTAATAGTATCAGTCTAAACACAGAAGGAGATTGCTTCCCTTTTAAAGAAGGTTAGAGTTCAGAGGATCATAGAGCAAGACCCTCTGGAATTCTCTCTTATAACTCAGCTTGTCCTGAAGGGACCAGAAAATCAGGCCACAGCCCAGACAGAGAAAATTGTGCTACAGAGAAAATGCAGAGCTGATTCTCATCTTGCACCTGCAGAATCTGCTGTCAGCTGTTCAATTCTAAGTTCTGTGGCTTTTCTTGATTCCTGCCTGTTGGCTGGCTAATTTATTAACTCCTTAATATCTGCAGCAAAGCCACATAGGCAAATATTTATGGGATCAAGAAAAACACCAGAATGAAAGGGTGATTGAGCAGGCTGACTGAATTTTGTGTTGACTTCACTAAATCATGAGAGTTTAGAGTTGTCTCAACAGCTGCACGCAGTCCAGAGTGACATCTTAAAATTCAGCCTTGACTTCCTAGCCCGGTTCCCATTCATTCCACCTTCAACAGCCAGCTAGCCATTCAGTACACCATCCTCATTTTATGCTACAGGCAAAAAGCCAACAAAAATATGGTCACATTTAAAAGCCTTTTAAGCAGTGAGCAACTCCCTCCTTTCCCAATTGTTCCCTGCTTTTTCACATTCCTAGTTAATAGGTTTTTAAAGCAGTTTCCCCAACTCTTTTCCTGCCACATACTGTCTTGCTTGGCATCTATGCAGCAAAAGGCTGTTCTTCAAGAGGCTTTTAAATCCATTGTACCTCTTTGTGCCTTTCAACTGCTAACTCTTCAGGTACGGGCTGTGTTTCTTGCTTAGCATATTTTGCATGTTCCAAGCCACTCACAGCAACTACGGCAAAAATGAGGATAAAAATAAAAATAATAAATACAGTCATTTTAAGTGGAGTGTAGGGCCATGTCTGCGGTTTTCTATTTGCTCACAGCATTCCACAGACTTCCAACAAAAGGAGCATTTTCAGGAAGTGTGCAATTCTGAGTTGAAATATAAATAAAAGTTTCTTTCTGTCTTTCTTTTACAATTAAACTTCCCTAGTAAGTCTTGATTGAGGCTTTGCTGTGTCGACATACAGAGATACTATACACTAGGTGTTTGAAAATCCTCTCCCCACCCACCTTGTTTTTATTAGTGGAACAAGGTTAAGAAAAGATGTAAACGGTGAACATCAGAAAGCTTGGATATTGAGAGCTGGTAAAGTTCTAATGAGCTATAGTTAACATTTTTCATCTAACAAAAATTGTCTGCTCTATACCACGAATTGTGCCTCGGCAGTAGAGGTAAAGATGACTAGGAAATACTCTGTCACCGAAGAGGCTCATGATCTAGTGAGGAGGAAGCCAAGTAAATAAATAATCAATCACATATGTATTTTGAGAAATAATGCTTTGTGGCTTTGCTTGAAATTAAAAAGACTTTTTGGCGCAGCGATAAGACATCTAAGGTAGGTAACTATGCGTTCAAAATGGAACTAAACATGCATTTCCCTCCTGACCATGTGAAATAATAACGACGAGTGCTCACTCCTAAATACTTAACAATTGTATGTTCTTTTCGGACCCTGCAATGCTGTCTGCTTTTTCTTCAACTTTGAGACCAGTGATCTCATCGTGTTTCCAAAATGAATTGAGGTTTTTAAGCAATGCAGCCATTATAAATTATTCAAATACTGAAGTCTTATAATATATTCTTTTTTTCCTGGTTTTGTCCGGTGGGTGATATTTTATAGCAAGGTACAGAAAACTAGATTAGCAAAGGCTCTCAAGGATAAAACTATTTGTAACAATCATTTTTATGCTACTGCTATGCCTGGCGCAAACTTTACATTTAAATTATCAGGATTTGTTTGTAATTCTGTTTCCCCTTTAAAGAAAGGTTCATGTTGTTACCCTGCTCAATATCTCCAGTGCCTACCATAATGGTTGGCACATAGGATACATTTAGAAGGAAGGATGGAAGGAAGAAATGAAGGAAGGAAAATGTTCAATCTTTTCTTCACACTGAAGTAGTAAACAGATCTCATCAGCCACCTGCGTCACTCCCCTTTTGAAACCACAGGTCGTTTTTATTTTATACACTGCAATACTTCATAGTTTAGCTTTTAAGATAAGTTTGTCACTCAGTACATTTGATTTCTAACAGCCCGATGCACCATATTTAATTTTTGTTTGCATGATTTTCTACAAAAATACAATTAAGATAATTCCACTGAAATAGATTTGGATAGTAGTGTGGCTAAAAAGGAAGTAACTACAAGGAGTATTTCAGTAAAGACTCAATAGAATGAGAGGTGTTTTTTTTTTTTTTTTTTTTTTTTTCTCTCTCTCTAATGAAAGACTGGCTTGTGCCAAAGCGACCATTTTGATTAGAGAGCATAGCACAATTATGGGTCATGTTGTGATCCATCATAACTTGTACTGGACTATATCTCCTGTATGTGGTTTGTAGAATTTATAATCATTTTTACAAATCTAAAATAAAAAAGAAAACTATTACAGAATATAGGTGTGCATGCATTTAAAAAGAAAAAAAAAAAAAACAAAACAAAACAAAAAAAAAAAAAAAAAAAATAAAAAAAATAGGTGTGCATGAATTTAAAAAAAAAAAAAAAAAAAAACAAAACAAAACTATAAAAACAAACCCAAAAAGCAAATGGTTTCTAAATCTTCACTAAGGGAAACAAAACAAAACAAAACAAAAACAAACAAAAAAACCAAAAACAAACTTGGTTCTTTCTTTCTGATTTTCTTTTCATTTATTAATTTATTCAATGCATATTTATTGATGACCAGTTTCGTGAAAGGGGTTACATAGATGCTGTGAAGGAAACAAAAATGAGTAGGAAATAGTCCCTGCCTCCCAGGGAACTTTTAATCTGGTGAACGAGATGACAGCACACATAAAATATAATGTAAGGCAGAATACGATTCATGTCTCAAGGGAGGCACATTAGGGAAGTAGGATTTGACTTGGACCTTGAAGAATTTAAAGTAGCAAAGATGTGAGGAAGTCTTTATAAGTAGAAAAAATGGCACATGGTAGGGTTCCATGACTGGAGCATGACAGAAGTATTGGGATGAAGGCTTGAGTAGGGTGAGGTATTACAGTAGAGGCATTCGGATACAAACCATGAAGTTTAGACTTAAATTCAGGGAATACTGGGCAGTTATTTTTTAATTAATTAATTTATTTTTTAAGCAGGCTCCATGCCCAGCATGGATCCCAACGTGGGCCTTGAACTCACAACCCTGAGATCAAGACCTGAGCTGAGACCAAGGGTCTGTCACTTAATCAACAGAGCCACCTAGGTGCCCCTGGGCAGTTATCTTCAAACTCAGAAAATAGAAATCATGTGGTTTTTTTCCTGAAGATTAGGCTGTCAATCTGTGGGGCGGCTAGATAGGTGGGTGAGCTGAGCTGGGAGGGTGAGGTGAGATGCCACGATAGGAGTATCACTTACTGGATTTTGGCTGTTGGTAACTAAAAGAAGCAGTGCTTACTAGATGAATACTGAAGCTAGAGGAACTGCTAAAATTTGTCCTAAGTAGGAGTGATGGAAAGCAATCAAAGGGAATCAGGTATGGCACCAAAATTTTAAGCAGGGAAGATAAGGAGATTGGTGGTATTAGATAGAAAGAGGAAAATCAGATGGAGGAACAGGGCTAGTGGGAAAGACACGAATTTGGTTTTTAATTTTTTGTATTTGAATTGCTGTTATTATGTACAGGTTGGGGACAGCCATCTGTGAGTCATGAAACAGAGGAATTTGGGAAAGGGGTCAGAACTAAAGACAGTGATTTTGGACTCATTTGCATTTTAATGATAATTGAACCTTCACAGAGCAGTAAGGCCTCAAAGGGAGAGTGAGGGTTGTGAGAGAGGAGAGCTATGCACAGAACCTGCATGCTTAAATTTAACAAGATGAGCCCATAACGGGAGACAGAGGTACGGTCATCAAAAAGATTAAGGGAAGGATTATAGGGACTGAGAAAGGAAAGAGTTTGAAAAATGAGGTGAAGTTAATACTAACCAGAAGTGTTCACGTTTTTAAAAAGCTCGCATTTTAAAAACATTATTTTTGTTTTATTTGCATGTTTTTGCTGTTATCTATCTCATATGTGTGTTTTGTATTTGGAAGGAGATACACTAAACTATTAGTAATTGTTAATCCAGAGGAGAGGGGGTAGATTTTCTCCGTGTAAGTATATAAAAGTGTATTGGTTAGGATCCCAGGAGGAAACAGATGGCACTTTCAAATTAGGGTAATCGACAAGTGTTTAATAAAGAGACAATTTCCAAACATGGGGAAAAGGTGTTGGGAAAGCACAAAGATTAGTGTAGTATCCCAACACTAGCAACAACAGGGGTTGTTAATGTCCCTAGGCTACATAGACAAGGAGAGGGAGGAATTTCTGGAATTCAGAGAGAAAAAATGGTAAAAGGAGAACCATCTTGAGAGAAGATATGACTTTGCTCAAGGAAGCAACAAGCCTGAGGGGACCTCCAGCAAGGAGAGGAGAGGAATAAATACCCCAGCTAACCATCTTTCACTCAAGGGTTTTTTTTTTTTTTTTTAAAGTAATCTCCACACCCAACATAGGGCTTGAAGTCATGACCCCGAGATAAAAAGTCACATGCTCCTCTGACAGGGCCAGCCAGGTGCCCCCACTCTTGGATTTCTTGCTGCAGATTGGCCTAATCCAATCAGGACCTAGATGTCCAGGGAACATGGCTAGACAGGGTAGCCTCCTGAGGCACAGCAGGGTGGGTAAGGGTCTAGAAGGACAAATGGAAGATGTTTGGTACAAACTGTATTGTGTGAATTTTTTAAAAAGATTTTATTTGAGAGCGAGAAAGAGATTGAGAGAACGAGTGGCAGGAGGGGCAGAGGGGGAAGCAGACTCCCTGCAGAGCAGGGAGCCCGATATGGGGCTCAGTCCCAGGACCCTGGGATCATGACCTGAGCTGAAGGTAGACGCTTAACCAACTGAGCCACCCAGGCACCCTGTATTGTGTAAATTTAAAAACATAATTGTGTATTACCTCTCTGGTTTCTTAAAGATATGTTGTAACTTTCTGCATAGCTTATGCATTCACATAATGTCAAATTTATGAAGTAATTCAGTGTATAAAAATGGTTAAAGAAAAATAATTGATAACCTGCTTCCCTAAAATGCCCCTAACTTAGATGGCTTTCTAGTGAGATTTTACAAAACTTTCAAGGAATAAATAGTATTTATTTTATATAAGTTGCTCCAGAAAAAAAAAAAACAAAAACCAGAAGAGAAGCTCTCCAGTTGCCCAGCTGATTTTATGAAGCTTGTATAATCCTGATATAAAATCAAGATAAAGAATTAAGAAGACATAAGTAAAGCATAAACCTATGTCACTTGTGGATATGGGTGCAATAATTTTAAATAATATATTAGCTAACCAAATCCAAGAATTTATTACAAAATAATACATATTGATCAAGTAATAATTATCCCAAGAATGATAGTTCAACATCGAAAAAAATGTATCAATGTCTTTCACTTTAACACCAGACCAAAGAAGGAATATCCTATGATGATACCATGGGACACAAGATGCAACTTATTTGTGATAAAAGTTGCAGAATAAAGTATTAATACTTATTTATGATAAAATCTACCTAATATTGGAAGGATCAAAGAATTTCCTGAACTATTTATGAAAAAGTTGTGATAGATTCACTGGAATGAATTAGGAGCACTTCCATTGAAACAAACAAACAAACAAACAAACAAAAAACAGGAAAAGGAGGTTTACAATTTAAACATAATGACTGGAGACCCTTGTCTACCTTGAAGATAAA